CAGATTGTAGTTGTATGAAAAAATAAGTACATTATGCCTTAAGGAATATTTCAACTTCAATAGATTCGCAATATACTAATAATGTGGTAAAGATCAATATTTTAAAACTCGTTCGAGAATCGAATCGAAAAAGAGAAAGAGGTCAAAAGTCAAAAAGTTCTATTGAAATAGATCGTGGTCAAATCGAAGGTAATAAATAAACATTCCTCAACATTTTAATTTTATTTTGACAACAATAAATATTTAAATTTTCACACTCCAAATAAATACAAATTTGCCACATATATGTTTATAAGTATAAAACTTAATAGTTTTTAATTTGGTGGATCACTCAAAAGTTAAAAACTCATTCCAATTGTACTAAATAATTTTATAAAATCAAAAATAATAAATGTTCTAGGTATCTATAGGAATCAAAGTAATTTAATGTTGCAGTCATGCACCATGTGGCCATAAATAATATTGAATAAGTGTGTTTTATTGGATATACCAAATAGTTAAAATTGTCATTGTTCCCAATTTTGTTTATTGTTAATTGACCGAATTTTTAGTATGAGATTAACTAGTTATAATCGGATCAAATTTTGGTCCGATCCGATTCTCAGCTTTTCAGGTCGAACAGATCATCCGGTCCGAATTTAATTAAAACTCCTGAGATAGTTGAAAAATAAATGCGTCATAGTTGATAAAGTTGATCTTAAGAGGTAAAAGACGACGAAATGATAGGGCAGGGACCTGCATTCATCATACAACCAAATTTTTAAAATTTTCCTTTTTCTCAAATTCAGAAAAATGCATATAAAAGTAAAAAATAATCGCAATTCATCACCCGTTGATCATTATATGATTAATTTATTGTGATGAAATTAAACTTTTTTATTTTTTTAATTTTTTTAATTCCAGTACTGCAAAAGAGAAGATGCGTACAGAGGATTATGCGTACTTGTAGATGAGCCCTTTTTCCTTGAAAACAAATCTCCCACAAGAGGAATTATTGGTTTCACTTTCTTTATCATAACTTTTCTTTCCCTTTTCCTCAATGTAAATAATTTTTCCTTCTCCCTAGCATCACTCAGAAACTGAGCTAAACTCTGTGTAGTTCTAACTGATCTTGACGAAGCTACTGCTGCTGTTGCCGCCTTGGCTGCCATCGCCGCCTCTGCCTTCGCTAGTTTCGACCTGTTCTTGTGCAGCTCAGCGTTCAACGAAGCGAATGCTACCTGAGTTTCGAACTCTCTTTCTTTGAGTAAATTCAGTTCTGTTTTTGTCTTCTCGAGCTCGAATTCGAGCTTTTTTACAGTGTCGACAGGGGAATCTTCATTGCAGCAAATGGAATCTCTGGGACTAGGCGAGGATTTCGACAAGCTTTCTTGGAGATTTTGTGGGGTTGGTGAAAAATATGGGGTTTCTTGTTTTGGTGCATAGATTTCTTCTGGCGAGAACTTCTCACCGAAAATGGCGACGGCCTCTTTCACTGAGCGAAAAGGACGGGAACTGTCGACCTTGGAATGGAAATCCATGGCCGCCACAGGCTTCTCATGGTGCTGGAGATCAGTTTGGGGTTCCATATTGTGACAAAAAGGGAGAATGGGGTGAAATGTAGGATGATGAGTCAGGTTCAGAAGAGTTTTCTTTGCTTTCAAGTCAAAATTTCATAGAGAAGTGTGTGAGAGATGGTATATATACATACAAATTCATATGTATGTTAGCTGGTGAATGAGATAGTTCGGTTTGAAGCTTGAGCCACATGAGATTTAAGGTTGTATTGAGGTAGACAATTGAACTACCAGACAACCTACGACAGAATCGAGCACAAGTACTGTAGTTATATTTACTACAAGAAATTTATGCATTCCCTACAAATTTATTTTGTAGGAAAATGTTCATTTTTGTAGGAAAAAATCTTTGCAAACGAAAAATTTTTGTAAGCACATTTGTGAGGCAAACATCGAGGGAAAAGATATAAGACGACAAATTTTTTAAATTTGTGGGATAAAATTTTTCCCTACAAACCCTTTGGAGACAGACATAATTCGTTGTGTCAATTTTCTCCCGACAAAATCATTTGTCTGCTAAAGTTAATTTTACCCACAAAACGATTACGTTTTTTCCTACAAATTATGTTGTAGGCTAAATTGTGTTTTTCCCTTCAAATAAATTTTGTGTGAAAAGAATATTTGTGACAACATAATACATATTATTTTGTGGGCTCAACCCTATTTATCTCCAAATAATTTTTTTGTGGGAAAAACATATTTGTAGATTATTACGAAAGACTTTGTAGGGAGAAAATAAATTATTTCATATATTTTATTTTTTGCTTATATTGTAGTAATTTTTTTAACCTTATTCAAAATAATATAAAAATGCCATAGGCTATAAATTAATTAAACATGTAGTGTCAATCGATGTAATATTGAATCCAAAATATTTTACAAAAACACAAATGTAACAAAATTTACCGTTCATCGAAATCCAAACTAGGTAATTTTCAATTTACAAGCATTCAGCAAAAGAATAAATAAAGAATAGAGTACCAGCGATTCAAGGAAAATCCAATAAAAGAATACAAGACTCTGAGCTGATTATTAGCAAGCCTGCCTATGAGTTATGCAGCTTATAGCAATGAAATCACCCTGATGTGTTGGGAAGGTGGACTAGGTAATAGATAATATATAGCCCCGTTAACTGTTTCTTGACCAGTTCACCGGGAATGTCTGGATACAATTTCTCAATAAACCTATATAAGAAGGAAGTATTCTTAACATTATATAACAAAATATAGATAAAAAGAGAGAAGACTTAGCATTTGCACACTATTTTAACCACTCTTTATTTCACCACCTTGAAGAGTTGTTAAGGGATCAAGAAAATACATTTAAAATTCATGCCATTATAAGATATTATAGTGTGTTATCGAGTAAGCTTTATGAAGCATTCCTACAAAAGAAAATCCAATTTTACGAGATAAACAATTAGAATTTGCATTCTTAATAGTTAATACAACTTGGAATAAAACATGATCAACTATTATAATTCAACGAAATCACTAGCATTTAATCCAAATTTTAAACAACCAAAAATAATTGGCAATATCATAGGAAGCAAAAGCCAGTAAAACATTACGGATGTTTATTCAAAAACCTTGGGACTGGGTAAATAACTTGTCAACCACAAAAGTCCTACAAACTCATATTTCTACTTCCAATGTTCAATCCTCACATCCCACACCTTAAAAGAAGGGCATTAGTCTCAATACACTATTTGTATTCTCAACATTTCTTTCTTATGCGGGCTATGCATATTATTAGTAGTTTACAATTTAAACAAAAATTGAAAAGAAAACATATGGTGAAAAGGAAAAGCTAATTAAGAAGTAAGAACCAGACCTTAACATGACCATGGAGAAAGAGCAGAACCTTTAGATGAGGCGATTCAATAATATGTACCCAACTAGGTGCAGTATCGAAGGGGCCATCCCACCCAATGTGTGCCACATGCTTAACATCTACTAGTAATCCAATCAGGCTCCTTCACAATTTCAACACAACCAATTTTCAAATTACACCCAAAACTATTAAAAAGCCCATTACAATATCTAGAAAAAAATGACTGATCTTAAAAATTGTAAATTAGAGGCATTACCAAAGATTTGAGACATTCCTATAATTGTTCTGATCACTCGGAAACGAAAGATGTTCCTTTTTTTTTAAGTTATAGAAAACAAAGTTATTCTTCTATACATTGCATTAACACATCAACAATGCAAATAATTTGCCACATCTATGTCTAGTAAAACAAAATGTTTCACATGTCCAATACTCTGGAAATGTTTTTAAAACATTCATAGGAGATGAATACATCTAGAAACTGTTTCACACGTCCAATACTCTAGAAATATTTCTAAAACATTCAAAGAAGATGAATACATCCATCAATTTAATATTTTCTCTTACATCCATAATACAAGAGAATCCCCAAAAGAATTGCCCTAAAAATCTAACATGTTTAAATATAGAGTCAAAGGAAACTAACCAAGGCATTTGAGAGAAGAACCACAGACATTAGCACAAACGTGTACATACTCCTTCACACTGGCATTTTCAAATTTCTTGAAATCCTTGAACATCACTAAAGACAATCTAAACACAACAAGCATAAATACAAATACTTCTTTTCCGACCGACCTTGTGCGAGCCCAAACAATTTCGAGACATATGAAGTATGATTGAATCAAAACCTGCGACCAAATCGCCGATTCGTCAGAAAGCGATAAATATTCATTGTATTGTTTACATATGAGGTTTGCGCGATGCGGGTTCTCATCCATCAACTCTGCAAAACTGTTGAAAATGAGAAATTCTACCATGGGTCCATCAATTCGAGTAGCAAAATTACTGAATCGATATGTAGAGGATAGTGAATTCAAGGGTCAGGAGAGAGGATTATGGAGTAAAGATCCAGTAAATTATTTTCAAAATGTGAGAAAGAGAAGAGATTACCTTGAAAATTGAAAGAACAAGTGATGTCTTTCAAATCGGTGGCTGCCAAATCCGCCAAATTCACCGAAGAGACGATAGAGGCTAGGTTTTGAAGCTGTGAGAGAAAGAACTCAAAGAAGGGCCTTCACGCTTCAAAATTATTTTTTGGAGAGTTTGAATCTAAACCGACGCGACCCGCATAAGTCTAAATTCGATAAATTTCCCACTAACTATTAGCCTACAAAGGAGTCAAATTTTTTTGTAGGCTAAAGATATATCTTTCCCTTCAAATATTATTGTCGGGAAAAAATATAATTTTTTGTGGACACAAGTCCTTCCATTATTAAAAATTTTAAGTCAAATCATAACCCTATGAAATGTAATTTTGTAGGGAAAAGTGATCTCTGCCCACAAATTTTAATATCTCTAGAATTTTTGTAGGGAAAGTATATATTTCTTGTAGTGATTCCTTGGAAAATTCCATTTGTACATAATTATTTCATATAATGATGTTCATAATGTGATGTGGCAATCATCCGATTATTGATGTGTAAGTATGATATTTGAATTAAAGGTTGGATTCAATACCACATATAATTATGGACACCATTATGTAAACAATTATATGCATGTAGCATTTTCCATATTCCCTAGGATTAAAATCAGATTTTTAGTAGATTTTGATAAAAATTAATTAAATATATAATTGAAAAACTGTGAATCCAATTAAACATGTTGATGAAGTTAAATATTTACTTCGACTTGAATTCAAAATCTATATTTTATTCGCACCTGTTTAAACCCCACTTTTTCAAGAATGCATTTTTTCAAAATTTGTTTTCAACCATATAATTTTCATAAAATAATTATACACATATTACAAAACTCTTTCTTTACTTTTTAACTACACATCTTCTAAAAAATCACTATTCCACATTACATTTTACTGGGATACTTTTTAAATTAGGCAAGTCAAAATGCCATTTTTTCACTTTGACCAAAATTTTTTGTCAATCTTCAAAATGGCCATTTGTTAAGTAAAAGACAATAATATCCTTAAATAGTTTATATAATTACAACGATAAAATTTTGTTTAAAAAGACAAAAATACCCTTAAATTACAAATTAAAAAACCAAACACTTTTTCACTTTATATTTAATTATTTATTTAAAACACTTACTCAAATAAAAAAATTAATATTCAATTTACATTCTTGTTTAAATATTTCATTAATTAATTATCTTAATCAATTATGTATATTATTTATTTAATATTTAATTAATCTATTTAATTATTTATTTAATCACTTGTTTAAATAAAAAATTTAACGTTTAATTTGATTTCTTATTTAAATGGGAAAATTGCAGCAGCGGTATCAAACCTTTCGTTTATTAGCAGACTTTGCCTAAACCTTTAGTTTGTGCCACCGTGAATACCAAACCTTTAAAAAACTTGCACCCAAAGTCCAAATGGATGGTTTTCGTTAGTTTGACCGTTAGTTGACCCAATAAATTGATTTTGACTAATTTTAGAAGGGGTAAAATTGTAAGTTTAAATTAAACTTAAAAAAAAAACAAAAACAAAAAATCAAAAGCATATAACTGTTCATCTTCTCTTTCATTCGGGAGTTCAGGAACCAAGAACGACCCAAACCAAGTCGGTTTTCAGTTACAGTTCCTTATTTTTTTTATTTTTTTTTTGGGGAACCGGAACAGAAACCTCCGAAGAACCTGGTTTGGTTTCTGTTCGAGAGGGTGAATTCCAGTTAAAATAAGGAGGCCTACGTTTCACGTTATTCATGACTAGATTCGTATCATATAAATTGCACTTTCGAGTATAATCTAGACATAAACAGTAGTATCATCTAGCAAATGAATAGCAAATTAATTTACAGTAGTATCATCTGAAAATGAATAGCAAATTAATTTAAATATCTTACAAATGGCTGTCTAGAAAGTTTCTGGAAATCCGAGATACATAAGGTACAATTCTCTATAGCAGCAATTGAAACGGAAGTTCAATAACACAATTTCAACAGGATATACATATATAGAAATCCAAGAGGTGGGGCTCACCGGCAGTGGCATCCGTAGAAATGCTCAAGGAAGCGAAGGGGGTTGGCGGCGACGATGATCTAGATGACGACGAAGGGAAGCAAAGGTTATCACCACCAAATGATACACAGCCAACCAGAGATTGCAGTGAGCCAACATCGATTGCCGGTAAATGGAAGCTCCTTGCGGTGGCGCACCACGCCATAAATGTCCCTATTTCAGTGCGTGTCCAAGGAGTATAATGGGGATGGGAAAGGGAAGATGAACAGTTATATGTTTTTGATTTTTCTTTTTTTTTTCTTTTTTTTTTTTAAGTTTAATTCAATGTTACAATTTTACACCTTTTAAAATTTGCCAAAATCAATTTATTAGGTCAACTAACGGTCAAACTAACAGAAACCATCCATTTGGACTTCAGGTGCAAGTTTTTTAAAGGTTTGGTACTCACATTGACACAAATTAAAGGTTTGGACAAAATCTGCTAATAAACGAAAAATTTGGTACCGCTGTTGCAATTTTCCCTATTTAAATATTTCATTAACTAATTATCTTAATTGATATATGTATATTTAATTAATTATTCAATTATATATTTTAAACACTTACTCAAATAAAAAAATTTATATTTAATTTGGTTTCTCTTTTAAATATTTCAATAATTAATTATCTTAATTGGTCCTTGTTTAAGTATTTATTTTAAACACTTACTCAAATTAAAAAATTAATATTTAATTTGGTTTCTCGTTTAAATATTTAATTTGTTTTCTCTTTTAAATATTTCATTAATTAATTATCTTAATTGGTCCTTATTTAATTATTTATTTTAAACACTTACTCAAATAAAAAAATTAATATTTAATTTGGTTTCTGTTTAAATATTTCTTTATTAATTACCTTAATTGGTTATGTATATTTCTCATTTAATATTTAATTACTTTATTTAACTAATTCTTTAATCACCTATTTAAATAAAAAATTAATATTTATTTTAATTTCTTATTTAAATATTTTTTAATTAATTGTCTTAATTAGCTATGTATATTATTTATTTATTGTTTAATTATTTATTTAATCACTTAATTAAATAAAAATTAATATTTAATTTAATTTCTTATTTAGATATTTCATTAATTAATTATCTTAATTGGTTATGTACATTATGCATTTAAAATTTAATTATTAATTTAATCACTTATTTAAATAAAAGAATTAATATTTATTTCAATTTTTATTTAAATATTTCATTAATTAATTATCTTATTTAATTATGTATATTCTTTATTTAATATTTAATTACTTTGTTTAGTTATTTATTTAACCACTTAATTAAATAAAAAATAATATTTAATTTAATTTCTCATTTTGGTAATTAATTATCTTAATTGGTTATGTCTATTATTAGTAATTAATATTTAATTATTTTATTTTAGTTACTTATTTAAATAAAAATATTATACCATAATGTACAAGTGACATAACATTATTGGATATTTGAAAAATAGTTTTTCAATCCTCCACTCATGGAATTTCATATGTATATTATGAACATCCTTATGAATTAGTACATGTGGAATTATCCAATATTTAATTTGATTTCTTGTTTAAATATTTTTTTATTAATTACCTTCATTGGTTATGCATATCTAATTATTTATTTTAAAAACTTACTCAAATAAAAAATTAATATTTAATATAATTTCTTCTTTAGATATTTCATTAATTAATTATCTTAATTTGTTATATATATTGTTTATTTAATATTTCATTACTTTATTTAATCACTTATTCGAATAGAAAGTTAATATTTAATTTAATTTATTCTTTAAATATCTTATTAATTAATTATCTTAATTGGTTATGTATATTATTTATTTAATATTTAATTAGAACATAAATCACATGGTGTATGAGAATATTTAATAGAGATGAAAGTCAAACTTTATACATGGTCACATTTACAATACATCAAACATTATTCAATAATGCCGATACCATATTTTCTCTACAAAATGAAGTCGAGTGAGAAGTTTCCGATTATAGTTTATTACTCTCTGCCCAATGGATGTGTAATATCTATTTAAATCCTATGTACTCTCTATTTATAGTGTGTTATTGATTTTCTCAATTTTCTTTATTTATAGTGTGTTATATAAGTAATTAAGAGTAATTAGTTACTTATTATACAATTACATAAAAACTAAAGTATTACAAACGTTTTAAAAAAATGCTTACTTTTGAAATTATTACAATTACGGATCACAATGTACATAAAAGAACGATTGCATTTTAATGTGCGTTTAGTTTATTAGCTCTACACTACGTTCGATGCTAAAAATTCAACGTACTTCAATTAGGGCTTTCAATGGATTGGATTTTGATCTGAATCCGATGAAATTAATAGGAGATGGATTTAGGGTCTCAATTCGATAACCCAATCGAGATTCGAATTCGATAATTTGTTAACTAAATGAATCAATAGATTGGATTTTGATCCGAATCCGATCTAAATCCAATGAAATTAATGGGAGATGGATTTATGGTCTTAATCCGATAACCCAATCGAGATTTAAATTCGATAATCCGTTAACTAAATGAATCAAATATGGATATAGGTCACTCCGATCTGATAAATAAATAAAACCTTTATTTTTCTATTTTTTTTCAATTTCGGATGGGATACTTGATAATATACTTAATCGGATATGGATTTAACATTCAAATATCCGTCGAATTATTGGATCGGATCGGATAATTATTATTAACGGATCGGATCAGATCGAATTTGAGCATATTCAATCCATTTACAACCCTAACTTCAATGCAAAGATTTCACAATCGCCCTAATCGATTTCACGGAAGATGTTGGGCAACATACCGTCAATAGATGTTCTCTTCTTTGCCTCGATCGTGTACGGAGAAACAATGTGTTGCGACAGCAATCTAGTCCTCTTGCTAACAATTTGCTCTGGCACGTTAATAATATATTTCGTACAAGGTGTCATCCAAACTCGCGACATTATCTGTCAAGTTAGGGGTCCTCTTCGGCATAGTTATTTATATTATTTATTTAATATTTAATTACGTTATTTAATTATTTATTTAATCACTTAATTAAATAAAAAATAAATATTTAATTTAATTTCTTATTTAGATAT